GGTTTCTGCTTAAGGTCCTTCAAAGCATTGGTTGCTTTCACCTTAGCAAGCCTAGTTTTTGTGCTAAACAACTCATGTAGGTGTAACATTATGTCAACAACATTACCCATGCCTTCATGCTGCTTTTGCAATACACTGTTCATAGAGGCCAACATATAGCATTTAGCCAGCTTGTTTGCATCATGCCACTTCTTATGATATTCAATATCTTGTGGAGTTGATTGGAAAGTCAGTACTTCAAGCTCATGGTAAAAAAGAACCCATGTGATCTTGTCATAATTAAATATAATATTAAAATTACTTTTTTATTTAAAGTAGTTATCACTATTTAGAGTGCATTTGTTCAGCAAAATTGAAAGTGGATTTATATCTGTGATGCAAATATGTTTCTAAAAGTATATTTGAAATTATGTAAGCATACTATTTATTTATACACTTTAAACATTTCATGATACATGTATGCATCATGACAATATATAAAACCCTATAAATTGTATTATTAGTTCAACGATCATTAACCTTTTTGTAATAAATTAACCAACTATGGGCCGTAAGAATTTACTACCAGGCAAACTAGGACCTTCCCACATAACTATGTTACCCAGTATCTCCATACTTAGAATGGTTAAGGACTACCTTCATTTTGCCCATGAAGTTTACTAACAGAGCTACTGTAGGCAGGTTAATAGAAAATTCATGTTGAGTGTAACAACCATTGTTTTATTCTTTTAAGCTCATTACTTAATGAGCCTCTATGGGAGGTCACTTAATAATCCACCTAAAAAGATTTATCTTTTCAAAAATCTAGTCTGTCATGATCTAGATTCATGCCCGCTTAGAGGGAGTAACATATTTCACATGCCAATGGGCCAACAATGGAGACCGTGGACTATAAAATTACTAGCATCCTCTCCCACTCAATATTTTTATACTTAGGGCTTTGATTGACTTTTTGTCCGATTTTTAAATACAAATTTAGAATATCTTAAGTCAAATTATGAGCTTGGTTATGTTTCCAATTAAACGCTTTTAGTATATAACTAAATCCATATTACCATCTTATATAGATATGATTTATTTTGCTATACTCATTATGTATGTCATAGCATAAAACTCCTTTTAAACTAAAATACATAATATATGCATGGCATTTCTTAAAAGAAATTAACACCTTAATTCTAAATTACATGTTTTCAAGTATAAAAATAGTATCTAATATCATTCATATAGATACATATAAATATAAATATAATAATAATAAGTCATATTAATGTCCATCTAAAAAAAATTAAAAAAATTACTTATAATTCTCTTCAATCTTGCTTGCTTCCTCTGCTTGCTAGAATTACTATATATATATATAAAATAATAATAAACCACATTAATGTCCATCTTAAAAAAAATTAAGAAAAATTACTTATAATTCTCTTCAATCTTACTTGCTTCCTCTGCTTGCTAAAATCACATCCATTTGGCACTTTTTTAAATTTTATGATGATTTAAAATCCCTAATTTTAATTTTAATTTTCAATCAATTTGAGAAAATAATTTTATTTTATCTAATTAATTAATCTCATTAATTAATATAAAAAAATAATTTTTAATCTAAGGTTAAAATAAATTAATTTTTCAAAAATAAAAAAACTAAATTTTAAAAAAATATTAAATATATATTTAAAATAAATTATTTATTAAAAAATTAAAATGAGATCTACCCGAATGAGATGTTGTCCAGCAACCCCGGGGTGGTCTGCACGCTTGCAACAGCCCATTCGAGCTGTTGTAGGCAAGTAGCACGTGTTGCTGCTGCTGCCTAGCGTCACATAGATGTGTGCTGCCCAGCAGCATACCCCACCTCTTTTTTTTTTATCATAAAAAATATTTTTTATAGTAACAGAATTTTAATATAAGAAAACTCCTTTTTTTCAAAAAAAAAATTGACACAAGAAAAACTCATTATTTTTTTAAAAATATTAATAACCATAAAAAAATAAAAATACTAAATATTATCTAATTACCTTTTTCCTTTTAACTTTCATTTTCTTTCTCCATGAATGTACCAAATATATCAACTAAACCTTTATTAGTTAAAATTTAAGTCCTTTCATGTTTAATTGCAATAAGACCTAGAAAATGATAGAATGCAGGGATTTGGAACTAGAAAAAGCCATGAATCAGCAACATCAGATGACATCTAAAGAAGAAGCTTTTGCTCTAAGTTAGAGTCATCAGGACAGAATAACTGGCAGGCCAGTTCGTGTCTTTGAAATTAATTCTCTTGAAGTTTTGTTATTTGCATTAGCTTCTATGAGGTTTGACCTTAAATATAATGCAATCACCTGCATCAAACATTTTCCATTTTCTTAACATTCAAATATATGGGTAAACCATGGTTCAAATTGTTAGATTACATGGCTATAGAGCAGCAAAAACCAGATGCAAGTGTAAACATTAAACATGGAAATAATGAGCAAATTATTCTAATATTTGTCCAATTTGTGGAAGAATAGGGCACATATATAATTCAAAGTAAGCTAGGCACATCATGTTAAAATCAATAATGGGAATTCATGACGAAAATGCTTCGAGGATCACAATGCTTGACTATTTGCTCAAAAGAGTAAAAGATGCAAATGTTACATTTCGGAGGTGTTACTACCTTGTTTTGTCTATTATTTTGCCTCAGAGAATAGATTGCTTGTTCTTCTTATATCATTACTATTTTTTTATCATCATATATCCTATCATTGGAGAGAAGTGCACCATGTAATAGAAAAGCACCAGTTATCTTTAAAAAAAATCAATGTCAATTCACTCTGGTAGAGAACCAATGCTATAAGTATGGTGATTTAGCAAAATAACAGGGCAATTACACAATACCTTCAGGCTACAGGTATCTAGAAGCAAAACAAAAAAATGCATAGAATTATTACAATAACATATTGCCGAAAAACCACATTTAATCAAGGGAAGCTGGAAAAGTTATAAATATCAAATAATGAAACTACATATGGGTAAATTTCTTTTCTGACAGGTCAGCACATACTTCTATCAAGGTAGGCCTTGCACATTGGCATTTTTCATCTTATCAAAAAGGCTCACAACTACCTGGCAAAGACTTCATTGTGACATTTACACATTCTCAAGCAGTAGTACCAAAATTGACAGTAAGTCTAAAAGCAATTATTCAAGCAAACCTCATTGTCAAATCATGTACGATCATAATATCTCATAAAAACAACAAACTAAAAGTTTCTAAATATTTAAATGTGGTTCTGAAGTTCTATAAGTTTGAAATTTGGTCTTCTTGTAGAAATGACTCATATTTCAGAAAGCTTCAAGAAAACATATAAAGAGAAAAGTCTATTTCAGTTCTATGTAACTCAATATAAACTAAACTCAAATGAAACGGTATATCACATAAAGCATCTGCTTAATCTCAACACCAAAGACATCTTGTTAATTTATAGATTTTATAGAAACACAAATTCACATATTAAAAAAAGAGGGACATGTCTTGCCAAATATCAAAACTATCAGTAACAGCTACCCAGATACTTGCAGATTTCTCCAATTTGCGAAAGGTCAAAAACTATCAAGGGATTATTTTAAAAGAGGTTCTTCTAGTGATCAACTTACTTGGCCAACAGTGGAGACTCCCTTATCTGTTCTGCCACATCTTGAGTAGTGTGATTCCTTCTTGTCACCAACTAAAAGCCTTGTTTTCCCAAGAGCTTTGAAAATTTCAGACTGCATGGGCACTAGAATTAGACAAATATTCAAGAATGAAACTAACTGAATCATCCAACAAAAATAATTGTATAAGTTCATATCTGATACTAGTTCAAGTATATACTAAGTTAATTCCTGCCTTTCTCAAAAAGAAATTGTTTAAAGATTCAAACAGGTCTTGCATTTGTCATTCCCCAGCAGTTAATTTCTAAGAGATGTTTAAGCACCATACCTCAACAGTAGGATCCATCTGTGCTTCTGAAGCAAAACCATAAAACCTGCCATATACCACATGAAATCGTAAGGCTTTCCTTGTCTTCTACTATCATTACAATTTATAAATTTTAATTTCTTTTTAAAAAACCAAGTATCATGGATTTTACAATCAAATAATAAAATGGGAAGTGAAGTAAATAAATGCATAGTGTTAGCAATGGACCAGACTTTTAAGGAAAAGAAAAGATAGACCCTACTGAAGCGATGAATAAGTCTCACTTAGCTACTGAAACAACGCAGCAGTAGGGCTTAATCCTGTGATCATCTTAAATTATCTTTTGGCTGGCATTAAATAACCATCTTACAATATAAACTAAGTAATAAAACCAAATGCCATGTTGGATACTAGAAGACACTCAGTCCAATACTCAATGTCTTAATCTTTTCAAAATGCCAGCATGTGATGGACATAAGAGGCAGTATTTACTAAAGGAAATACACACTAAGGGGAATCTATACCCTAGCCAGAGGGAAAATCAGAAAATCATTGATGTAGCCAACCCTATCTGGCTGGAATGAAGGTCGAACCAAGTTACGTGAACTTGAACTGAGACACTGTTAAAACTAGGTCTTCTACCATGAATATTCAGTTGCTATTTTCTGTTCTCCTTTCCTTCCCCTTTGACTTATTAAGGCATTAGAGAACTTAGTAACAGAAGAGGAATTTATGCTATTGACGCCAAGCAACATAGATATCACAAGGGATTATGGTTACATTGCATACTTCTTACCAAAATACATGTCTTTTAGAACAACATATCTCTTGGAATTGTGAGTCATGATTTCCAAATTATAACCTGTTTAGAAAGATAGATTATGAAATTTGATACATAAGAATATGTCTGATGACAATGTCATACTTCTTGAGAAAATACACAAGGCTAAGCAAATTACAATTGCATGATCAACAAAACTGTTTTACTAAGATCATGTTATAATACACTTCAGATTTATAATGGCCAATATTACTAACTTTCACTCTCTCTTTCCATGAGTTCATAATGCACCTGAGCAGAAGGTGAGTAACTAGTGCTCTCTGGCAGACTACGCAGCATTTTCATGAAATACAATATGCTAATGCAACAGATCTCCAATCTCATATCTCAGCAACCAATGATGATCATTGGTAAGCAAAAGTATATGAAGTATGGCACATTCTTGTAATAATCACACATAGATCTGTGAATATAAGATCTCACATATGCAAATTTTGATTTGTTTCATCCAGTGCATATTCCAAACTTGCAATTGCTGTTTAATTTCAGAAGCATAGATGAAACTTGAAACACGCAGAACACAACAATGATAGAACCAAAAGAATGCAATGTAGAAGGAGAAACCAACAAGATTAGTTCAAATAGCTAAATTGCACTAAATTAGTACCAGAAATCATGAAAACTCACCAGATGCTGCTGGTACAAAGAGGAGATCGTGCCTTGTCATCCATCTGCAGGCTACATGGTGCAAAGGGAATTATTAAAAGCCTATTGGACCACGAAGAAAATTTATTATTAAAAGCCCACAATTTTTCTTTTTGAGATTTTATACAAATTTAGCAATATTCTGTTACATGAAAGTAGCAAAATTTGAGATAAAAGTAGACACTTTAAACACAATGATATTGTATTTACTCATATCACGATGAGCAATCGATAGAGAATTTTCCCCCAGTGTCAACAAACTCAAATGATATTTAAGATCAGTCAATAGACAAAGACTAGGAAAGAAACCTGGAATTCTTTCTAATGCTTTCTTTTTCTGGTCTTATCATCTCTGTCCTTTTTTCTCTGACTTGCCACACCCGAATAGAAACATTTTACATCAGAACCATTGCTCATCTTCTCTGTCTGCATCATACTGATACTTTAGTCTCATAGGTAATCGACTATGAGTATTATAAAAAAATAAAAAAGCCTCTACCCTCTTTTGATCAACTGCAAAATATGAAATGCACCCAACAACGGAAATGGAAATCAAAAACCAAATAAGACCCCAAACTCATGCCACACTCCCCAAGGCCTAGGAAGCTTTTACAAGCACATCAAAGAATACTTAATTGTAAATTAAGACTCCATCTTAGTTCTTACCTTGACTTTTATTACTTGTTTCTTGATTTCCAAAAGCAAAAAATTTTTAAAAAAAGTCTTTAGTTAAAAAAAGCAAATAATATTTTTAAAAAAATTAAGTTTCCTGAACAACAAAATTAATTGAATTCACCTTTTAATGTCACAAGTATGTTATGAATTACTATTTCAATGTACCCAACTTACTCATGTTACAAATAAAAAAAAAAAGTAACAAAAGTAACTACCATACAGAGCCTGAAGAAATAAATGACAAATGCTGCAAATATGCCATTTCTTTTGCTAATTCTTCAACACAAACAATGGCCAAAAAAAAAACACAAAATTAGAAATAACAATAAAATAAAAAGAAAGAAAGAAATTCAAGTGGCTAACAAACCTTATGGCAACAACATTTGGAGAGTTGAGATGATAGCTTGGCATTCTCAGCCTCTAATTCCTGATTCATATATTCCAAAAAAAAAAAAGGAATAGTGAACGAAATTAAAAAAATTAATGACAATAACAACATTTGGAGAGTTGAGATGATAGCTTTGCATTCTCAGCCTCTAATTCCTGATTCATACATTCATAAATTAAGAAATAGGCAAAGCAAGAAGTACCTTGGCTCTATTTTGGAGAGATTGTAGCTGGGATTGCAAGCTCACAACAACATCTCCAGCGATATCTCTTTCTTCGTTTGAAATGTTCGATTCTTCTGTCTTTCTAAAGGCGATACTCAAAACACCGGCGAATCGTTTCGAAAATCAGAAAATTTGGCTGCTGTTTGACTCCATGTGCTCTTGCTCCCCACACTGGGGATTTTGTTCCAAGTGGGTTGCAACAGCTTTTAAAACTACGGCGTTTTATCCTTTGGTTGTCGAGAAAAAGACTGTTTAATATAAAATTGCCGAAGACAATATTGTAATATTTAATTTATAATTATTTTATTAAAAAATTATTTTTATTAGGTAAGAGAAAGTGATGCCCGTGGTAATTTAAATTTATTGGGAATCTGCTATACAAAAGATGGAAATAGTATTTCCTTTAATTAAAGTTTCATAATTATCATGCCAAACACAACTTTAATTTTATAATTTACTCATTTTATATTTATTATTATGATATTAAGTGGTTTTTAGATAATTTTGTCGACGGAGTTAGTGTCATGAGCCAAATGTAACAATTGGTCTTATAATGTTATAAATATATTTGAAGTTTAAGGAGAGAGTGTTTGAAACCATTGAAAAATTAATTTAATTTTTTTTCTTTATGTCTGATAATTCATTTTTAAAACCCACTTAATTCAAGGTTTTCAATAAAGATTGTTAAAAAAGTTACTTAACGTATTTAGTCAAATTTATTTAAGAAAAAGCTATTATTTAATTATAATAAAACTTATATTATTTTCTTTTAACGGTTTATTCTTTCTTTTTTTTTAACTTATTACCAATCCAAAATACTCAAAAAAATCAGCTCAACGAAAGAGTCAATAAAAATTCTATTCGGTATCTAATTTTCAATTGCATAACAAACAATTCTTATATCAGAAATTCAATATTAAACTTTTCAGAATAATAAAAAAGTGATTAACTTTTTTAGTATTGAATTTTTATCAATTTATTAAACAACAACTAATTTTGGTGTGTAGTTTCTTAATAAACTGTAAAAGAAATTGTAAAAAATAATTACTTATTGTCTGTGATTTTTTTTTAACAGGAGATAAAATCCACTGAAATTACTATAATAGAAAATTTGCTCACTGTAGAAAATAATAAAATAGATTTTATTATCTCAAAATAATTGTTTTATATTTTGTGATCCTCTACTCTTAATCAAATGGAAATTTGATTATTCTAAAGAAAACTTCTGATTAAAGATCAAAGTAAATTAAATTGAATCAACATAAATATAAAAAGAATATTTGAAACTCGTCATTTAAAAAAAAAAAGCCCTAACCCATAAATCCCAAGACATTTTCGTTGCAGAAACGTTGTTAACATATATCTTTTTATTTGAAAATAAAATATGTTTATCATCTTTTTACCTTGTAAATAAATATATGTTGAAATAAACATTAATCATAGAAAATTATTTAAAAGACAAAAAATAAAGCAATAACAAAACTATAAAGTTATGGGTATTTAAGTCTTTTTAATCTTTTTATTTTGTTTCAAATGACCATGCACTTATCAGTAACTTTTTTTGTCTCCTTCAAAACATAATTTTTACTTTTTTTTTTCTATTTCACTTATATATGGTGAGCGCGTCAAACTCTAGTTAATGATAAAATGATTAACAAAAATATTTACTTAATAAAACTACTAGAATACGTTTTATATAAAAAAAACAAGAGAGAGAGAGAGAGAGAGAGAGAGAGAGAACACCGCTAAAAATAGAATAGATGATTAGGCATTTTGCTTTTTATTTTTGACAATTTACAAGTTTGTTATTTATTAGTTACGGTATATGATGTGGCATGGCATGGAATAGGATTCCACTGATCTCTGACTGCGAATGAAAGAAAAAACCACAAAAACTGAGCCAATTGACCCAACAAGTTTCCCGGGCAATTTGTCCCGTTTCAAAAGGCACAATGCAAGATTCTCTAAGTCGTTGGATCCCAAACCTCCTTTTAGGTCTTGGTCCAACCATAACAGAACTCCAACGACTATTTTGTAACTGACTTTTCTTCTTTTTGAACTAAAACAGAAATCCTTGATTAATGCACTTAAATCAAAAACACACCACACTCGTTAAAAGACAAAAAAAATTAACGCAAAACAACAAAATCAGACCGCCGGTGTGATACGTCGCTCCGGCGAATGATACTTTTCTATATTCTCATTTGAGTTTGGATTTGGATTTATTTTTCTTTCAAATTCTACTATCTGGTAATGTTTTTTTTAAAAAAAAATTCTATGATGGAGTTTCATAATGAGAAATAGGTTGTAAGGCTAGAATTTCGAAATGCCTACTTATTGCATCTAATCTAGTATATGGTTGCAATCGGTGTTAATGGCCATATATTTATGATAATGTGTTTCTTCTGTTTTATGGATTTTACTTGTATAAAATAAGTAGGACTTTTTTTGGTATGTTGCAGAATTAAAGTGGTGACTTATGGCATCTTAAATGAATGTAACAATTGAATTTCTTTCTCAAAGGAATATCGACAAAATTGTTCAAATAATTTGTTTCTAACTTTTTTTAATTTCCTTATGTAGAACTCGGTGAAGTGGATCAGTACATCAAAGGATGTCTTGCAAGATAATGAAATGTCATCGTTGTATAATGTGGATAGTACCTATGAAGGTGTGATAGAGATCACTAGCGGCCAGATTTTCCTGCATCTTTTTGTTTAGGCAGTTCAATGCTGGCACATGCTCCTCAACTTGAAGGAATAAGTGGAAAGTGGTGAGTTGAATCAGATAAAAATGGACTTCACTGATGGTTTTGTATCAGATGAACACCGGGAGCTTGTTCGATCTGCTTCAGAGAGTGCAGATCCGTTGTCTGCTTCTCCAATGCAAATCCCCATTTCTTCAAATTCTCCAAAGTCTCGAAAGTCTCCTAAGTCCCCTAAGGTCCATGGCAAAGGAAGTCCAGTCAGTTATGATAGGCATTCACATTCTCAGAGAGATGGTCGTCCTAAGAAAGGTAATACTGTTAATATCATTCTCAAATCCTGTTATTAGACAATAAGAAAACCAGTGGTAGGGAATCCTAATGGTGAGAATGTGAAAGCTGATGTCATTGCCGTATGGTGCCAAACCTTAGCCCCATAAAACTATCTATACGGTGGAGACTTTCCTTGTAGATTATACTTCTAATGCCAATTCTAAAAATGATGAAACCGTGTTCTTTTCTCCCAAAGTCAATAAAATATGTTCAAAACCTAATCATGAAATCGTTTTTGACGAAAGAAAATGATTCAAGCTTTTAGCTTACAAGATTTGTTTTTAGGTCATTATTTATCTTTTTTAGCAATTTCATTATGCAGGTGGCTCTGGTGGTAAAGGCACTTGGGGAGGGTTACTTGAGACTGATTACAATTATTCCCTTGACTCAAATGACCCAAACTATGATAGTAGTGAGGTAGTTAGTCAACAACATCCCTTTTACTTTCTATGGATTTTTGTTCTTGTTCTATCTTCTTTGTTTTTCCAAATCACCAAAGAATGATTATCACATTTTTCAGGATTCAAAGCCCAGTTTGATAAAAAAAAATGAAGAAAAATGTGTTTGATGCAGGAATATGGACATCCTAATGGAAGAAAATCAGCATGTGATTTTGATGCGTACAAAAAGAAGACGACAATAATAGTGGAGGAATACTTTGCCACTGATGATGTTGTCTCAACTACCAATGAATTAAGAGAACTTGCAATGCCAAGCTTCAACTATTACTTTGTAAAAAAGCTTGTATCTATGGCTATGGATAGGCATGACCAAGAAAAAGAAATGGCTGCTGTTCTATTATCCGCGCTCTATGCTGATGTCATTGATGCTCCACAAGTTTACAAAGGCTTTAGTAAACTGGTGGAATCTGCAGATGACTTGATTGTAGATATACCGGATACAGTCGATGTTCTTGCATTGTTTATAGCTCGAGCTGTTGTTGATGATGTACTCCCTCCTGCTTTCCTTAAAAAACAAATAGCTTTCTTACCTAACGATTCAAAGGGGTTGGAAGTCCTGAAAAGAGCTGAGAAAGGGTATCTAGCAGCTCCTATGCATGCAGAAAGTATTGAGCGCCGATGGGGAGGCAGCAAGACTAAAACAGTTGAGGATGTGAAAGCCAGGATAAACAACTTGTTGATAGAGTATGTAGTGAGTGGTGACAAGAAAGAGGCTTTTAGATGCATCAAAGATTTGAAAGTTTCTTTCTTCCACCATGAAATAGTTAAACGAGCTCTTATTATGGCAATGGAAAGGCACCAAGTTGAAGATAGAATACTTGATCTGCTCAAGGAAGCAACTGAAGAAGGCCTGATCAACTCAAGTCAAATCACAAAAGGATTTGATAGGATGATTGACACAGTTGACGACTTGTCCCTTGACATACCAAATGCACAGAGAATCCTGAAGTCTTTAATATCTAATGCGGCATCTGAAGGTTGGCTGTGTGCTTCATCTTTGAAGTCATTATCATTGGAGCCCAAAAAGAAATTATTGGAAGACAGTTTTACTAGAACTTTCAAGACGAAGTCTCAATCAATTATTCAAGAGTATTTCTTGTCTGGTGATATCTCAGAGGTATGCAGTTGTCTTGAAGTAGAGAACAAAACTTCCTCAGGTGAACTAAATGCTATCTTTATTAAAAGGTTGATAACTTTGGCAATGGATCGAAAGAATAGGGAGAAAGAAATGGCATCTGTTTTGCTTTCATCCTTATGTTTTCCTGTAGATGATGTTGTAAATGGGTTTGCCATGTTGATGGAATCTGCAGATGACACTGCTCTAGATAATCCAGTTGTTGTTGAGGATCTTGCTATGTTTTTGGCTAGAGCTGTGGTGGATGAAGTTTTAGCTCCACAACACCTGGAAGAGGTTGGGAGCCAATTTTTGGGGACGGATTCTACTGGGAGCAGAGTACTTCAAATGGCAAAGTCATTGCTAAAGGCTCGACTTTCTGGGGAGCGCATCTTAAGGTGTTGGGGTGGTGGTGGTGGTAGCAGTAGGCCTGGATGGGCTATTGAGGATGTCAAAGACAAAATAGGAAAGCTTTTAGAGGAATATGAATCCGGAGGAGATGTTAGGGAAGCTTGTCGCTGCATAAAGGAACTAGGCATGCCATTTTTCCACCATGAGGTTGTAAAGAAAGCACTGGTGACAGTTATGGAGAAAAAGAATGAAAGACTATGGGGTTTGCTAAGGCATTGTTTTGGCTCAGGGCTCATAACCATGAATCAGATGACCAAGGGTTTTGCAAGGGTGGCAGAATCTCTTGACGACTTGGCTCTTGACGTGCCTGATGCCCAAAAACAATTTCCGAATTATGTCGAAAGAGCAAAGACTAAAGGGTGGTTGGATTCATCAATTTATTGTAGCAATTCTATACATGGGAAACAGAATGGAACCTGCCTCTGATAAGGGTAAGCTTTGTCATCCTTTAATCTGTCACAGTTGTAAAACAATAAACTTACTAATATGGCTGGTATTACTACTCCGTTGAGTTATTAAACTGGATTAACTTGTCATTGTAGATCATTATGCTCTTAGCAGAGGCAACACGGTCAACATCACAAGTCAAACTAATACTATTTCATAGGTTTAGGGATGTTAAGTTCCTTCTAGTTGGTTTTGCAGAGAATAAGTTAAGAAATTGACTTACATTTCAACTTCTGCTGGATAAGTACATTGCATTCTTATTGAAATTAGCATGTTTTTGCCATTTACAGCTTCTATTCTTGGTACTTCCGTTTCTGCTCAAACTCTAAGATCCAACATAATCAATACAAACTAAATGAATGTTAAGAGGTTGGTACTTCGGCTTCTGTTCTCCAGATCCTGTTTTCATTGCATCGCATTGAAAAACTCACCACAGGGATGTTCCTCATTTCCAGTGCAAAGCGTGTATGGAACTTGGATTTGCAACATTTACAATTTCATGATTGTTTTGTCCTAGAATGTTAATCTTATTTATACAAATAGGGCATAGTTTCATTTTATTTGAAAGAATATGAACAACATTGAAATGTGTAATTCTCATCTTTAATTTATTGTATCAAGTACCATCATCAAGCAATCTTTTTAAGTTTGAACGTCCTTGAGTAAAGGGTTAATTACATATTTGGTTTTCAAACTACATATTCTCGATTTGGTAAAGTTTAAAAATTTTCAATTAAGTATTTAAACTTTACTTTCATCCATCTGTTTTCACACGAGACTAACCTCATTAATCAAATGAATAATGTGTCATAAAATAATCAGTAAAAATATGCATGATGTGTGTCAAAAATATTTTGTCAACATGCAACGTGTGGTAATTTTATTAGATGTTTTGGACATATTATCTATTTGATTAATGGTTTTAATCTCATATACAAACTAATGGACGGAAGCAACATTCGATTATCTAATTGTAACTTTTGAAACCAAAGGCATCAAATAGAGAATTTGATTATAATTTAGAAATCAAATGTGTAATTATTTCAAGCTTATTGCAATTACTTTTCAAATAATTGCTTTTATAAATGAATTAAATTAAATTAAGAAATGAGGTGCATATTAAAACCATTTTTAAGCTAAATATAGAGATTGTTTATTTATAAGTTAGGCTGTGAAACCTCAAATTTGAGGGGAGCATTAAGCTTAACTAAAAATTAATTAGTGGCCTGTGCTACGTCACTGCAGTTGTTACTTGTCAACATAATTTACAAATTATTTTAAGTAATTAAATAATTTTATAGTAAAGTGAAAGCAAAAAAAAAATGAAACAGCAAATTCCAAAAAATCCCAAAATATAACAATTTTATTAACATAAAAAGGAATTGTGCATGATTCTACAAACTTTAAACAAATTTATTATGAGGAAAGGAAGAAAAATTCAAGTATCTTAATGAAAACAAAATGCAAAATATGTTAGCAAATTTGACAAAGGTAAACAAATCATTTTTTCCCAACTTAACGTAAATTAATCCTGCTTTGTCCCATGAAAAACAATTGTAAAGAGATTAAAACAACACAAGAAATAGATATAATGTAGTCATGCATAGATGCCCAAACACATTCTGTTCACTGTTATTAATAATATATATATAGGTGAAATTTAACTAAGATAAAAGGGGAGCTACAATCCTCCCAAAAGTTTCACATCCATTTAATCACTCTTAACTATCAAAATAACATAACCATAATGTGTTGCAAATTACTAGGTTACAAAATTCATCACCATTGATTCACCAGATAAGCCTATCTTAATGCACCATTCAAGGTACCACTTGGATGGCTACTTAATAACACAATAGTACAATTAAAAAATATAAACTTTTAATATAGTCCCCAAATTGACATCTGACAGATATAGAACAATGAACATAGACATTACAAAAATACAGATCCACTAACCTTGGCAAATGATACCAACTCAACTTCATAGTATATAGTTGAGTTACGAGGTACCAAAGCCAACTTCTACTGCGACTTATGTGACCCAGAAGGATACTCAAGTGCAACAGTCAGCCACGTTACTTCACCCTTTTTCATCATCATCACAGCTCTATCAAGACCATCAATAACTTTCTCTATCACAAAAATTCAAGCAGTGACAATTCAGCAAAACAAATAAACTGGAGTCAAGAGAGTGGTGGAAGGAAGACTTTTGTTACCTTCATCTGTCTTGAACTCAAACAACTCTTCTCCTTCATTGTGATCTTTCTTCAGGAATAAAATACCATCTTGCAATTTCCCAATCAATTTCACTGTCGAAAGGTGCATAAATATATATATATATATTAAATAACAAACGGTTATGTTGCATTAGGAAGGTTGAAAATTATGTTCCCATTTGGACAACAGCCTCTTCATTTGGGCCCAAAAAGAATAGGATCAATGTATGCAAGAAAGACATAAAATAACTTACACAAGAAATCAAGAAATGGAGACAATCAAAATAGAAAAACACAGTAGATGTTGTAATGTGTAGGCTCGAGAACTCGATCGTTAGACGCAAAGAAACACTTAAGAGTCACTACCATTCTTTTTCTAGATGTGATTGGTTACCTATTGACTCGATTCTGATCGACGATGCCCAAAATTGATTTTAAGTTTGTCGAGAGAATTTTAAACTACGCTACAATTTTTAAGGACTAGGTTCGAGAGTACAGTAACATTCGGGGAAGAATTAGCACCCACATGACGTCCATTTCATGAATAGTACCATTTGATTTTAGATTATCTTATTGGAGCCTTAATTCTTAAATTTATTATGTTTCCTTAGTTATTATTCATTTCTTTTATCCTCTATTTTATTAAAATATTTTATTTGGCTTTACAAGTGTAATGTGTACATAATGCATTCGTGAAATGCATGGTGCAAAATTTATATAATGTCAAAAAAATAACCTTTATTGAGGATATTTCTCAGATCTGCCCATCATATTGGTAGGATCTGGCGATATTTCCTCACCTAAAGAGTTATTCGGGAAAGTTACCTTCGTAAATTTGACGAATAAATCCTATCCTCAAGGTTATGGTACGTGTTTTTTTAAGAAAAAAATTATGTTTTTGTGAATGTAGACCTATTACTAGCAAAAGTCTTTTTATTAAAGATATTCTTCGGATCCATCCATCATACTAGTGGGACTCGGGAACATCTTTTCACTTAGGGAGCTTTTCAAAGGAAACTCGCCTTCACAAAATCTTTCAGAAAATCCCATCATTGAGACTTATGCTCATATACATAAGTATCTATATGCCATGACATTTACAATGTAATAATGATGCATGCTACGATTATGAAATCCATTATTTTATTTTTAAACCCTTTGATATTTTTGTTAGTTCTTTAAGACTTTTCTTTTCTATCGTTTTTCTTTATAAATATGTATATTATGAATTATATATATATCTCTCTATGTTATTTAGGTCTTTATCTATTAAGACATCTTATTTCATTATCGTATATATTTTGATTTGATGTTTCTCCTTTTTATTATATATCTCATTCCCTTTTTATGACACCTATAAATTTGTTTTATATATTTTATATAAGCTAATATTTATCTTTTGCACTTTCAATATAATCATTATTAGGAATTTTTCATCATTGAATACTTTACTTATTTATTTTATTATTATTATGAATATTATTACATTTTTATTTTTTTTTACAATTTTATACTTGTCTTTTGTCAACTTAAATGAGTTCATGTCATTTATTCTTTTATGCTTATTATATTTGTATTTATATTTTGATTAATTTATTATATGATAGTTTTTGTTTGTTTAAAATTAGAAACATCGAAATTTTAGAATTAAGACCCTCCCATCGTACTCGTGGGGTCCTAATTTAATTCTTGAGCCTAGGGAGAATCCTTTCGAAATTGCAATTCCTCCCGTTCTGAACAAACATCCCATTATCAGTATTGAATTAAATACTAATCTTATTTATATGAATAATTCTTTACCTTGCCCCCATTTTCATTCTACCTTCATTTATAAATCTATGCATTTTATAAAGCTATCTTTTTAAAATAATTTGATAATTACATATTTTATTCCACTACATTTTTTATTTTTATTATTTTTTCCATTTTTCCAAATTTATTTTCATTCATGTTTTTCCTATAAAAATTCACCTAATTAAGTATTCTATTATTATGTCCAACGTTTGAACTCCTCCTACATTTTATATTTTCACTTAACCATATCTTAAATCTAACCATATATTCCCTTATGTGTATATTATCAATCTAAGCAAACCTATTCCTATTACTAAATACTTATTATCATATTATATATATTTTTTATATTCAATATTTACCTAAATTTATTTATTATTTTTAGTTTTTAGTTAAATGTCCATTTATTTGCCTATATGTGTATTTTTATTCTTGTATCCATTTTCATAACTAAATAATAAATAAATATTTTAATTTTTATATAACTTTTTGACTATTTCTATATTTTCTATATTTTCCTATCCATTCCCATCTCTTTTCATTTCTAAACATTTTTGTTTATTGTAATTATCTATTTTTATATTTTCTACTTCAATGATTTTCTTTCCTAATATTTTTTAATTCATACCACAAAATTAATATACTTTATATCTATTAATTCATTTTCATTAATATAAAGCTATATTATGAAAATTTCCTAACTTAAAGCAATCATCACAAATACCACAAAATAATCTAATAAATTAAGGATTTAAAACTTACCCAAGGTTCAGCCTCCCTCCTCCGAAACGGCATCGTTCTCAACTCTTCTCCAGCACCAAGTCCTTACTAGTAAAATGGTGCTGTTTTGTGCATTGACCTAGCTTTATAAGCTTATTTTCCTTTTTGATTCATAATCAAAAGAAAAACAATCTAACAATGATCTTATTATTATGACTTAGGATTGATTATCATACATGCAAGATTATACTTAAGGATAAAAAATTTAGAACAATTTCAAAAAAAAATGAGATGTAATGCATATATATATATATATATATATATATATATAAGCTAAGCATCTCATGCTAGCAAAATTTAAATTTGTGTTTCTTAAACATAAAATAAATATTTAGCCATAGGCCTAAAACCAAAAATATCTCATCTTGACAATGTTGTCAAGAAAACATTCAATGTTCTAAAATTATTTATTGTTCCACAATCTAATGTAGGTCGACAAGCTTAATCACCATCAACAAAGGTTGTCATCTTCATGATTTATAACCCAATCCAACTACCCAAGTCGAGTGATATATCCTATCATCTTAAGGACATGAGGCCTTTTTAGGCTTCCCTTCAACATCTTACATCGGAACAATTCCCTTGAAATGTCGAATCTCTCTGTGCGACTTTCATTATCGAACATTTCTTTAAGGTTT